TCTTCGCCAATATTCATCTTCTAGAAATTTCTTCATATCTTTAGGCAGAGTGACTTCGCGTAGCGCGGGCACTAACAGTGGCGGAGTGGGTTTACCGAATTACTTCATGCTTACTTTCTTCTTTGGTTCCATGCCATAGATCAGGTAAAGATTTAGTTGGAGAAGGGAGTTATTAATGTGTCACAGAGAATGAAAGAGAGTGAAAGTAAAAGAGTAAAGTAAATGTGACTATATGAGTTGCGTGAAGAGGGGGATAAAAATTGGTTTTAAAATTCAAAATTCAAGGATAAAGGCATAAGATTTTGTTCTGAACGGACGATTATAATTGGATAAAGTGGTCGGTTAAAAATTTAAGGGTGAAGAAGTGATTTATAACTCACGGATACTTTTACCATATATGAGATATGCTCGTTCGGTTAATGTTGTAGCCACATTAACAGCATTAAAAGTTTTCCATCACAACAAATGCTACGCAGCTAAGACCAATTTTCTGAGTTTGAGTGAGACTATGAATGCAACAGTAAAATTTTGTACAAAGAAAACAAAAATAATAACTATGAAAAAAAATCAAGGAAGCTAACTTATTTAAAATACAAAGAAATTAAAAATGAGGGAGATCGCTTAGGGTGATTAAAGCAATGCTAGGGCTTTATTACTGGCAATAATGCTTTAAACGCTGACCATTAACTTCAAATGTGCTTCCATCCACCAAGTTATTTGGTACATAGCGCCATGACGAAAAACTTGAACTTCAAAAGGGCCCGAGCAACGAGATCATAATTTCCCTTGAAATAGCTTCAATCGCAAATTAAATAGCAGAACTTACTGTCCAGCAATGAATTACCGTGGTAAAATATGTCAGTCATACCACTTTTTACTTTTATCTTTGTAAATACATGAACTCTAATAGGCGTTGTTTTGAAGCTCCTCTAGCTTATTAAGCTCTAGCATTCGTTTTTCGCCTGCAGCATCTAGCTCAAAGTTTAGCTTCTTCAACGCCCACATTGCCTTATGCTCCACTCCATAGGAAATGACAAGCTTTGCCATAAACAAGATAATAAGGAAACATCCCTAATGGAGTCTTATAAGCATCCTTATAATCCCACAATGTTTTTTCAATGCGTTGTGACCACTCTTTTCTAGAAGGATTTTCTTAATTTTCCAATTAGATACATCGGCTTAACCATTGGTTTGTGGATGATATCATAACGGTCCAATGCTCTAGCAACCTGATTTTTGAAGAATTGAGATCCTTCACCTCTGATAAATGCCAAGGGTGTTCCGAAGCAAGTGAAAATATTTTTGTGAAGAAAATGTAACACTACTTTAGCATTACTATTTGGAAAAGTCACAGCTTCCACCCATTTGGAGACATAGTCAACAGTAACTAAAACAAAAAAGTTACCATAAGAAGATGTTAAGAACCCATGTCATTTCACCAAGAAATATTACCCATTCGTTGTGGCAATGCTAGAAAATGTTTTGTTATTCACACTCAAGAGTACATCGCCGTATGATTTGAACATCGCATTGTTTAAATAAGTATGGCTCTTCCTAATGGTATTGCCTCACATCCCTCATGATTTTTTCTGCTTTGATAGTTAAGATCAGGTGGCATCATCCCACTAACTAGATAGTTGGCAAAATCAGCGTACCATGGTAATGTTGTAACAACAAACAATCGCTCATCAGGGAGCTCATCCAGAATTACTAGAATGTTTCCATCCTCGCTACCAGATTCTAACCAAGAAAAGTGATCAGCCACTTGATTTTCAAATCCCTTCTTGATCTCTAAATCAAATTATTGAATTAAGAGAACTCATCAAATAAATATAGGCTTTGTATCCTTCTAGGTAAATAAATGCTTCAACATTGAGTGGTCAGTATAGACGATTACTTTGGTTCCCACCAAGTGAGAATGAAACTTGTTAAAAGAAAACACTACAATGAGTAGCTCATTTTTAGTGTGGTATAATTAATCTGAGCATTATTTAATGTTTTGCTTGCATAATGTATGGCATGAAAAACGTTTTCTTTCCCTTGCCCCAACACTGCACCAACAGCAAAGTCATTAGCAACACACATTAACTCAAAAGGTAAATTCTAGTCTGATGCTACAATGACAAGAGTATTCAGTAGCTTCTTCTTGATTGTCTAAAATGACTTAAGCATTTCCCCATCAACAATGAATTTCGGTTTTTCTCTAGCAAAGAACACAGTGGCTTAGCAATTTGAGAAAAATCTATGATAAACCTTCTGTAAAAACCATCATGACCAAAAAAGCTTCGTTGCCTTCACATTAGTTGGAGGTGGTAGTTTCTCAATAACATCAAAATTTTCCTTATCCACTTCAATGACACGACATGAAATACAGTGCCCGAGCATTATACCTTCCATGACCATGAAATGGCATTTCTCTCAATTCAAAATAAAGGTGTTTTCTTCACATCTTCTCAATACTTCAGCCAAATTATCTAAATAATGCTCAAAATCTTTCCCAAACACAGAAAAGTCATCCATAAATACTTCAAGATAATCTTCAATCATATCAGAGAATATGGCCATCATGCAGAACTGGAATACCGTTGGAGCATTGTATATTAATGGTAATGGAAATTGATCTTTTCTTGTTGCTTTATTGAGCTTCCTATAATCCATACATATTCTCCAATCAGTAGTGGTCCTCGTCGGTACTAATTTTTTTATCATTTTTTACCACGGTAATGTCGTCTTTCTTTGGAACACATTGTGCAGGGCTTACCAATTGCTATCCAAAATTGGATATATGATTCCATCATCCAATCATTTGATAATCTCTTTTCTAACCAGTTTCTTCATGATTGGATATAACCTTCTCTAATGTTCAATCAAACTACTATTAGGGTCTTCCAAAAGAATCTTGTGCATGAAAAATGTTAGACTAATGCCTTTTATATCGACAATACCCTAGGAAATAGCTTTCTTGTACTGCATCATCACATCAATCAACTAAGCTTCCTGTGATGTTGTAAGTTATACTGCCACAATAACTGGCAATGTTTCATTCTCTTAAAGGTAATCGTACTTTAAATGCTCTGACAAAGGTTTCAATTCAAGCACTGGTGGTTCGTGAATAGATGGCTTTAGAGCTCAAATAAAATGATCAAGCATTTCTAGAGGTTTAGTATTATGCAAATAATTGCTACAGTATTCACCCTCGACATCATCAAATAATTTTTTAACTACTACCGAATTACTAGTGACAATATATGTGTTACAGCATTCTTCGAAGTACTCATGTGCAGAGATATCAATCACATCAAGTGAGAAACATTTAGCACTATCATTTATGTAATAAACATCATTCAAAACATTAAAAGTGATATGCTTATCATTCAAACGCATAGTCAATTCTCCCTTTTCTACATCAATTAAGGTTTGACTCGTGGTAATGAATGGGTGGCCAAGAATTATAGGAACATTTTGATATGATTCACAGTCCAAAATAATGAACACTATTGGAAAATGATTTTTTCTACTCTCACAAGCATGTTTTCCACAATGCCACTAGAATGCACGGTAGAGCAATTAGTAAGTTACAATGTTATCGTAGTGGGTCTTGCTTCGCTGCTCCCAAATTTCCTAAAATGGATAATGACATTTGATTTATGCTGCCACCCAAATCACATAAAGTTTTACCTATAAATATATCACCAATATTACAAGGGATAGTAAAACTCCCTAGTTCTTTAAGCTTTAATGGCACTTGACTAATAGCCATAGCGCTACAACCTTCAGTAAGAATGATAGTCTCAAATTCACCAAGTTTCTTTTTCTTTAAAAGGACCTCTCTCATGAATTTGATGTAGTTTGGGTTTTGCTCTAAAGCATCAATCAATGGGATATTAATTGTGAGTTAGTGAAGGATATCAATGAAAGATTTATATTGTTGATCTTCCTTTATCTTTTTTATGTGTTGTGGAAATAGTGGAGGCATCCTTGGATGTTGTTTTTGAGGCAATGAAGTTGGCGGAGCGTCAGTTGTGGTAGGTGTTCCTGTCGATAATGAATTTAACTTACTACACTGTCTTATGTCTAATGATGTGGTATGACTCACAAGTGGCTCTATCTCAACCTCTTTACTCCTTCCCTTTCCATACTTAGTAGCCTCTACATCATTTTTCTAAGGTTCTTTAATCATCTCCCCAATATGAATTCCACTCGTTGTAGTAATAGCCTCGCGATGCTTTTTACCTTACAGCTTTGGATTTTAAGTATCACTAGGTAACGTTCATTGCAATCGATTATTGAAAGCATTTCCCATTTATCCCATTTGATTCTTTAGAGCCCTTATTGATGTTGACTGGCTCGCCATGTACTTTTTCATCAGAGCTTCAAGATATGACAAAATAGAAATTTGGGTTGAAGATTTCCCTTGATAAGTTTACCTTTGTTGTGGCTGAACAACTGGATGTTATGCTTGTGGTTGTTGTATTGGTTTCTACTTATTATAATGTTGCGACTGATAATACTGTTGCTACGGATTGGCAATATTTTGGCTTCTCTAATAAATATTTTTATGATTCTAGAAATTAGCATTATAATTATTTCCAAAAGCATTGTCATTCCTTTGATAATTTTGCATGCAGTAAACAGACTCCAGATTTTAGAGGCATGCATCAAAGTTATGATTATCGCTACAATAAACACAAGTGATAATTGAAGAAGCTTTGACCTCATATATTTCCTTAGTTTTTGCAACTTCTTCACTACAACCGTCATGTTGAAATCTGAGATGTCATAGAATTGAAAGCTTTAGAATCTACTGCTACAACGTTGCATTGGCCAAACATATTCCTTGTATTAGGATATTGGAAAACATTTGCTGAGATCCTCTCTAAAATGTCATAAGCTTTATTGTACGTCTAATCTAATAAAGCTCCATTCGCTCAAGCATCGACCACCATAAGAGTGTGTATGTTTAACCCGTTATAAAACAGCCTATTTGAGTCCAATGTGGGAACCCACGCATAGGACACTTCCATATAAAATCCTTGAATCTTTCTCATGCTTCATACAAGCTCACATCCTCTATTTGCTTGAATAAAGTTTGATCATTTTGAAGTTTGGCATTCATGTTCTGTGGATTAAATTACAATAAAAATTTATGTGTTAGCTCATTCTAGCGACAATGAACTCAACCAAGCCTTAGCTTTATTACGCAACAAAAAAGTAAATAGCTTTAGCTTCAGTGCTTCATCCGGAACACCTTACTGAATAAACGAATCATAACCCTTCATGAATGCTTTTAAATGAGCCCTATGATCTTCAGTAATTGACCCTCCATATCGTCCTATAGATTGTAGCATTTGGAACATGGTTGGCTTTAACTCGAAGTTCGCAACATTAATCACTGGCCTCATTGTGCCCGGATATCGATCATCCATCGTTGGCACTATATGGTGACGGGTAGGTCAATCACGATCATCCATGTTATAAAAGTATTTGCATGCCCCATTTCCAGTGAGCAACTCACCATTCTCTTCATTCTGCAGTGGATGTAAAACATTATTCCCTTGTCCAGCCATAAGTGTTTGACTTTTTCGACATCGTGTTGACATCTCTTAAAAGTTCTCTCAATCTATGGATCAAATAGTTATAATTTGTCGTCGCTATATGGCATACACTAGTAAAAATGAAAATTAAAAATTACCTACAAAAGAAAATAACAAAGTGAGAAAATTAAAGAAAACTCTAAATCAAACTGATATTCCCCGGTAAAAGCGCCAAAAACTTGATGACTGGTAAAATGCTACAGCTTAAGTGCAAGTATACACCAATGCCCAAGTAATATGTGGTAGCTCAAAGAGCTACGGGTATCGTATCCACGGGGAGCAAAATATTCATTATTAGAGTTGTAAGTATTGAAATAATGATGAGTATGAAAAAGATGCTAATTAAAGGATATAAAAATCAATGTAAGAAACACTATGAAGAGCGTCAAGCCAGTAATCAAATAGTATGTAATAATATAATGTATATCATACTTCAAGTAAGTAAAGCATACTATCTCTATATGATTAGCAATGATTAAAACCTTTCAAACTACTCTAATTTACTTTCATTAATTAAAGGATTCAAAGTATTAACAAAGCTAAACCATTGGATGCACATTTTTCAACATGCACACTGCTACTCAGTAATACCAGTTCTACTAAAAGTGCACAGCAAATATTTCAAATCTATTTCTAGAAAATAATCAAAAAACCATGCGTTTAATCGCTAATATTTCTACTGGTAATCATAAAGCAAATAGCACATAAAAGTAATAGCAATACACACATAAAATAATCAACCCAAATTATCATCAACAAAGGTTAGAAAACATCCAAAGTTACTCATTTTCTCAATAGTAGTCTTCAAATGGTGATCTACTGACTGCTAATGCTACTCAGCGAGTTCTCTTCATGTTATAACAAACCCTGGAAAGGGGCTTAAGCTTCCATGGCATACAAAAGAATAACATGGAAATGGGTACTTCCTTAAAGCGTTCAATCGTCCTCCTCTTTAAGCTTGCAAAGTACTCCCATTTATATTCTTGAGGAATTTTTCATCCTCTAATAGAATGCTTCCACGTTTCATGTGGTTTCCAACCCATTAAAAGTTACCCAAGCCAACCCATCTAAAAAGTTCTCCTAACCGTTTAGAGATTCATCAACTCCTGCAGCATCTACTCAGTATTTTTCTACAATGCTACGACATCAGTGTAACAATATTGCAGCAAAAAAATTCAAATTTAACCCTAGACAACCCACTAAATTCTGAATATGCAAAATATATAAAATTAAGCAAATATGATCCTAAAATGCTCCTAAAAATGCTCAAGTTCACATTAAACCTAGGTGAAAAAGGCTACTAAAATAACTCTTTTTGGGAGTTACCATAGCCTTAAACCTAGATGTTTGCTTGCCCTCAAGCAAAAATGCATGAAATATAATATCTAACAACAATGCTATAGAATATTTTCATAAAATCAACTCAGCAGATAAGTTTCTTTTTCATCCCTCAGCCAATGTTGTATAGCATATATATATATTCTCAAATTAGGTAATGTAATTTCATTTCATTGGAATCAGAATCCTCATAGTGCAGTGTGTGCAATTTAGGTGTATCAAATCAATACTTAGCTAAGTTAGAAAAATTTACACCTACTATATTAAAGATGTTCAATGCTACAACAATATTCCTCTACCAATTTTGGATTTCCAACTTATTCTCACACTATGTTGGAGCTATTACCAACAGTACCCAACTCTCTACAGTGCATGACATGGATTTCCATACTCTAATTTTTTTATTCCATTCAATCTATATATTTGAACTCCTATAATTTTTAGTAACTTAGATTCTAATGAAAAACGCATTGCTCTCTGTGGATACGATACTCGTAGCTCTTAGAGCTACCGCTTATTACTTGGGTATTAGTGTATACTTGCACTTCCTCTATAGCATTTAGCAAGAACCACTAAGCTGAGCTAATATACTGCACAATTCCATAAATCTCTGATACTTACTGAACTTTAGAAACTCATCATTCTATGCACCCAGTTCTTACAAGCAATTGCAAAACACGGTCTCAATATCGAATACTGATGATATGATGACAATTCTCGACATCCTAACATTGATCTATATGCTTCTGTTGTGCAGAAAAAATTCAATGTTCATCCATGCAACTATATTTTTCTCATTTGTCATTTGTTTACGTACGCTCTACTCATCTTATTGAGCATCTAAGGTACTCACATCTTAAAATCACCCACTTGCCTAGCGAAACTAGCAACATATGGCTCTCCTAAAGAGTACGATCTCAAAAAGGAGGTCTATCTCTCAACTGCATTCTGACTTAAAGGTTCTGAGGCTCTATATCGTGCATTCGCTATCACTTACCACCATTGAGCTATTCAGTGATGACTAAAGCTAGCCAAGCCATGCTTAACGTGTATGATTTCCTTTAATCTCAAATACTACAATCCATGGTACTACACAATGTTACATACTGCTACGTGTTGTATATGCCTCACACTCATACACCAACACGACTAATGACTGGTAAAATGCTACTGCTTAAGTGCAAGTATACACTAATGCCCAAATAATAAGTGGTAGCTCAAAGAGCTACAGGTATCGTATCCATGGGGAGAAAAATGTTCTTCATTAGATTTTTAAGTATTCAAGTAATAATGGGTTTGAAAAAGATGCTAATTAAAGGATATAAGAATCAAAGTAAGAAACACCAAGTCATGGTACAACACTACAGAGAGCGACAAGCCAGTAATTAAATAACATGGAATAATATATTGCATATCATACTTCAAGTAATAAAGCATATCATCTCTATGTGATTAGCAATTATTAAAACCCTTCGAGCTACTCTAATCAACTTTCATTAATTAAAGGATACAAAGTATTAACAAAGCTAAACCATTTGATGCACATTTTTCAACATACAAACTGCTACTCAGAAATACCAATGCTACCAAAAGAGCACAACAAATCAATCAAATCTATTTATGGAAAATAACTGAATAACCATATGTTTAATCACTAATATTTCTACTAGTAATCATGATGCAAATAGAACATAAAAGTAGAAGCAATCCACACATAAAATAAGCAATCCAAAATATCATCTACAAATTTTAGATAACATCTAAAGTCACTCCCAATCTCAAAAGTAGACTTCGAATGGTGATCTGCTGACTGTCAATGAAATTCACTAAGTTCTCCTTATTCTACAATAATCTCTGACAGGGGGCTTAAGCTTCTATGGTGTGCGATAAAATAAATCGAAGCAAAAATTTATGTGCTAGTTCATTCTAGGATACTATAGCACCTAGTGGCAATGAACTTAAACAAGCCTTTGCTTTATCATGTAGCAAATAAGGAAATACATTTAGATTCAGTGCTTCCTCCAAAACACTTTATTGAATAAATGAATCACAAACTCTCATGAATGCTCTTAAATAAGCCAAAGAATCTTTAGCAGCTGACCCTGCATATTATCCCATAGATTGTAGCATTTGGAACTTGATCAACTTCAACTCGAAGTTCACAGAATTAATCATTGGCTTTACTATGCCCAGATATGGTGACAGATATGTCGATCACAATCATCCATGTTATAAAAGTATTGGCCCGCCCCATTTCCAACAGGCAACTCACTATTCTCTTCATTCTGCAGTGGAGGTAAAACACTATTCCCCTATCCAGCCATAGTTGTTCGATTCTTTACGGAAATATCTCTTAAAAGACCTCTCAATCTCTTGATCAAACATCTCTAATTCATCGTCGCTACAGAGCATAAACTAGTAAAAATGAAAACTAAAAAGTACCTACAAAAGAAAATAACAAAGTGAGCAAATTAAAGAAAACTCTAAATCAAACTAATATTCCCCGATAATGGTGCCAAAAACTTGATGGCTGGTAGAATGATATAGCTTAAGTACAAGTATACACCAATACCCAAGTAATAAGTGGTAGCTCAAAGAGCTACAGGTATCTTATCAACAGGGAACAAAATGTTCTTCATTAGAGTTTTAAGTATTGAAGTAATGGTGGGTATGAAAAAGACGCTAATTAAAGGATATAAAAACCAAAGTAAGAAACAACAGGTCATGCTAGAGCACTGCAGAGAGCGTCAAGCTAGAAATTGAATAGCATGTAATATTATAATGTATATCATACATCAATTAAGTAAAGCATACTATCTCTATGTGATTAGCAATGATTAAAATCTTTTGAACTACTCTAATATACTTTTATTAATTAAAGGATTCAAAGTATTAACAAAGCTAAACCATTGGATGCACACTTCTACTCAGCAATGCCAATGCTACTAAAAGTGCACAGTAAATCAATCAAATCTCTTTCTAGAAAATAATTGATAAACATGAGTTTAATCAGTAATATTTCTACTAGTAATCATGGAGCAAATAAAACATAAAAGTAGTAGCAATACATACATAAAATAATCAATCCAAAATATCATCCCCAAAGGTAAGAAAACATCCAATGTTACTCCTCTCAATGTAGGTTCTGAATGGTGATCTACTAACTGCTGATGC